TGCTGTGTAAACTTGCCTTCTGAGTGCGTGCCGAGCATTTTAAATCGCCAGGAAAGGAAATGGAGTCATCAAAGAACTCAAAGAAATGAGCTTTTTTTTTTTTCTTCCTCGCTGAACATCAGAAAGATGAAAAGAGCTGAGCAGTCATCTGAGCTGACTCACCTTAAATTCCAAGCTTTGCCCTCCTATCTTGCGCATTGAGGTTAATTCTACACACGTATCAGATGGCTGACGATCAAACAATGTATTCATACAATTTATTTTTATTAAAGACTTTAGTTGCGCAGATCTCCGTATGAGGTTCGGCACTTCCTTCACATCAGCAGTAGCTGCTTGCTTGTGCTGACATGATGTTAGTGTGTGAAGCTGCTTGGAGGAACATGATCATATAATGAATATAAAAGCATTTAAAGTACAAGAGCAGATGTTAATACATTGATGTGAGAAATGTCACTGCCTGAGTGAGGTGACAAGGATCTTGCAAAATTGGATGAAATGAGGAATTAATGACAGATAACTAAAGTGCAGCTAACTGGCCCTGTGGCAGAAAAAACTAACTGTGAAGTGTGTCGTATAATACCATGGGACTGACTGATGGGGTCGTAGCTGTTTGTTAGAGGTGTAATGGTTTTTATCTTGAACTGTTTGGTGCAACCTGTTCACATCAGGATGCTACTTTTAGGAGTCGTTGTATGACTTAGACTGACTTTATTAATCCCAGAGGGAAATTCTGTATTCACCCTTGGGTTAAATAAAGACAGTCTAAGTCATACAGCGACTCCTAAAAGTAGCATCCTTTCGTCCATGTCGGCGTACTTGACTTATAACGAAAATAAGAGCATGTTTCACTCTGACTGGTCCGGCAGCGTCACAGTAGTTCATTGCTGACAATTCCATTAAACACATATTTACTCACACTACATGTTTTTATCACAACCTGTAAACCCTCTGCTCGTCCTTTATGGGTCAATAAGCATTTTACTGCCAATATCTATTTGGACACAATTGATGCTTTTATTTTGAATTGTGAATGTGGGAACTATTGCTCGTGGTGTTGGTTCCGATGGTGCACTTGTTGGAGTTGCACGTTTCATGGTAGGCGCCAGGAGCGGGTAAACTGGAAAGTGGGTATATTAATGAAGACCTCATTTCTGCCTTTTGAAGATCGGGTCAGGCAGCGAGGTATGTTTATGTTTTAATATAGTTTATATGCCTTTATTTTACATTTTTACCACATGGTGTGTTATGTTTGTTTAGTTCGATGGTGGCCAGGTCATTGTGCCAAAGTGGCGAAGCAACGAAAAAGTTGGTGCCATTGCTGAGAAGAGAAATAAACACAAGTTTTTGCCATCAGTAAAAAGAACTCTGTGTTTGTGAACCCCTGAGACGAGGCAGAAGTGATAAAGCATGTGAAGCTCACACTGAACCCCGCTGACGACTCAATTTTAGGTTAGTAGGTTCTGACAAATGAGGAATTTGACTTGTGGTTTTGGTGCGTTACAGTAAACGCTGACAAATACAGAATTTCTTTTTTTAAGAAGGACTGAAATATTTAAAAAAGGAAGCAAGTCAAATAAACAGCAAGTGTAGGAAATCCAAAGAATTTTGCATAATAAAAAAAAGTGAAAGAACTATTTACAATGTGCAGGGATGTGCAAATTACTCACATGAGAATATTCAAACTAAGTGCAATAAAGTTTATTCAAATAAGGTGGCAGCAGGAAAGTTAATGCAGAGGTTGATCTAGAATGTCAGTGCTGGCTTTAGTGGGTAATTTAGTTGTGAATACGTTCTTGTGTGTTTTTTTTTTTTCTTCTTCAAATTTTCATTCATTTAAAAAAAAAAAGAAAAGTACTTGAGTGTACTGTTGTTTCTTAATTCTTCCAGTAGGAATTAGAGCCAGTTAGACAGTTGTTGGTTTAATTTTGTGAATTTTGTTTTCTCTGCTGCACTGAAAACTTATCACACTGCATTTTATCTGCTTATGCACCCCGATTGTGTTGTATTTAAAAAAGCATCTATCTGCTTTGACAGAGAACAAACGGAGCTTTTCTGTTTTCTGCATCTTTCTGTTGAAGCGGCTCGTCGGAGGTTCAGATTAAAGTGTAAAACGACAGACTGTCCGAACCAAGAGAAGGAAGTTTGAGTGGAAGCGTAGAAAGGCAGGATTGTTGAAAAATGTATGATAGTTTAGTTTCAGCCACTGGTGCAGCCTGAGGTCATCGCAGAAGTGTCTGTTTCACGGGATCCTCCACCCGAGTGGAGACAGATGAACAATGGCTGCATGTTTTTAGATTTTATGAACACTCTCTAACCTTTGGTTAATTCACACGCAGTCTGAAAATCGACTTTTAAGTCAGCCAAGCGTAATTGCGGCAGATAAACCATCACGAGGGTCAAAGCTTCATCGAGCCGGGTCGCTTTACTGCCCGTCACACGATTAGCATCTCGTGTTTCTGCAGAGGTCAGGAAGGTGACACTCGTCTCCGGTGCTCGCCACAGTCGCACCAACAAATTCACCTTTACTGTGGACAACAAGTGGCTCAAACGTCGCTTGTAAGTCACTGGCTGAAACAAACAGTCCACTTTACCTTGTGTTTAAACTGTTAAAATGTGAAGAGGAAATAACTTAATGCAGATGTGGTCAAGACGAGCAGCTCTGCCACAGCTGATACGGAGCAGCTACGTACTGTATTTGCATCGCGCCAGACAGGAAGCGTGAGAATAGTTTTAAATAGATTGCTGTGGTTCACGGGCTGATAACTGTGTTTTGTTCTGGTAACGCTCACTGAGTACGAAGGAGGAAAGTCCGCCTGTGCACAGAACATACAATCCACGACACGTAACCTCTGAACAGCATGGAGATAAATTAGCTTCATGTCATATTCTAGGATCTCGGCTGCTCAGTTATGTGATCTGTAAGTCATTAAAAATAGCATCTCAGTGTCCTAATGCCAGTGTTGATGTCTTCATATGTGTTTTGTCCAGCCAAGAGTCTAAAAATATTCACTCAATTATGTCAACAATAAAAGAAAAGCAGCAAATCTTCACAACTGAGAAGCAAAAACACGGTTATTTATTGGGCATTGTTGCTTCAGAAAGAGGTTTTTATATTGTGAGACAAAGATACTGCATGTACTGAATTTTCAGTCAGAGGTCATCCTCCTTCTAGAGTCAGTGTTCAGTCAAATCAGACAACACACAGACATGATGCACATATTTTTAGTTTCAGTATCATTTACACTTTCTTTCTTCAATTTGCATCGTCAAAAGATCCGTTGATGTGTTTAGAATCCTTAAAGAAAGACGCTCTGTACATTCAGGGGTCTTTTGCAAACAGGAATAGAACGGTAGCATCTGATTTGGCACAGTTTGCCTGTTTGCACTTGACTGTGTCTGAAGGCGAAATTGTCAGGGTTATTTTTATTTATTTTATAAGATTATTAGATTATCAATTTGTTTCAGGTTTAAAGAATTTGCTGGTTCCGGCTTCTAAGATGTAAGAAGTTGCTGCTTTCCTGTATTTTGTGACTGTCAACACAACACCTTTGGGTCTCGGATCGTGTTTCTTCACTTTGGTTTGCAGGAAATGTGAGAAATTATGATTCACTTTTTTTTAAACATGTGTCCCCATGAATGAGCCGTCAGACCTGTTTTGCACCAAAATGGATGATGCGCTACATAATCACATCACCGCTGGGTTTGGACTAACATTTGTTGAGGGTCTGCACACTGGACAGGGTGCTGCTGATGTTGAGTAACGCTTGTGTGATTTATTTTTGGGAGCTGTAGCAAAGATAGAAAGACAGATTTACTAACTTATTATTCCTGAGCTGCTGCATCACATTCCCACCACACTGACCTGCTGCATCCTCTGTGATCAAACATCTCATTCACGAACTCTGCCTAGCAACAGCGTAGCCAATCAGCTCGTAGCCGCGGGATGTCAGACAGAAACACGGCTGAAAAGACGGATGGTAATGGCAGATCAGTGCTGCTACTCTTATTGATTTTGTGTGCTCTTGCTTGTCCTTTCATTGTCTGTGTGAAAGGGAGCTCGTGTAAACATCGGATCACATCGACACCAGCTGGCCTCATCTAGACAGTCGCCATTAACTCTGTCGGCTCAATTTGTGAATGTAATTGGGTCTATTTGATGTGATTGTTCTGTTAAATGATGCATGGAGTTGACATTTTTTTTAAATCTCCTCAGCTGCAGTTTTATGTATACAGTCAACAAGACGGTGACTCACTCAGTCGTAGGGTTTGCTCTGAAGCAGGTTTTCAAACATTTAAATGTGCCTCCTCAGCTGCCATCTGTGGTGGAATTACGACAAAGTTCTCCCTGCAAAGGGGAAGATAAACTATTTTTTTTAACCTGTGTTGTTAATTAGGATTGCATTTGCTCCAGCATAATAGACATTTTGTGTATAAAAATGGCCACAAAAAACAGAAGAATGAATCAATAATGGTCACACAAATGCATTGCCTTTACTGCTCACACACCGATCAGGCCACATTCTGAACCAGGAAAACCCCTGAAGGCAAAGACAGATAAACAGTATCAGAAGTAGAATCTTATATGTGTGGTGGTTTCCTTTAGTGCTGAAATAGGTAATGGATTACACAACCAAAAATGTATTGCTGTGAACAAGTTTTATAAATAATTTATCGAGTAAAATCCTTCAATATTTGCTGAAATATGACAATGTGCTGCTCTTCTGTCTTGTATACGGTAAAATGTTGGCGTTTTGAACTGCTTGTTGGACAAAATAAGCAACAAATAAACATTTCAAGTGAAGCTGTGATGGTTGTTTTTCACTATTTTGACATTCTATTGACTAAATTTATAAATTGGAAAAGCTCCAAGTTCAATAAATGTACACTAAGAATATTGGTGGTGGCCCATTTCAGACACATTTCCTTATTAGTTGTGTTAACTGTGTAGTGTGAGAAATGCAGCTGTATCTCACCCTGTGTTTGTCTCTTTCTGTCTTCAGTACTGGATCAATGAGTTCACCAGCTCTCTGGGCATAGGAGTCTTTCACTCAGGGATTGAGATCTATGGAAGAGGTAAGGTTACCCAGAAATCTGACACCACCCACGTCAGGGCATCCGCCCGAGGGTGCTGTTTCAGAAAGGATGCTGCTTTTATAGCTCAGAACACATAATGCATACGTCACTGTGTTTCACTCCAAAAATATCCGTCTATAAACGTGTTATATGTCACAGAGAGGCTTTTTTGTTTTGTAACACGAGCTGCTCCAACATGTGTTCCTGCTCTGTGTGTGTGTCCAGAGTTTGCCTATGGCGGACACCCGTACCCATTCTCAGGGATCTTTGAGATCACGCCAGGTGATGCAACTGAACTCGGCGAGACCTTTAAGTTCAAGTAAGTGGATGTTTGGTGTTTATATGAGATGCACAAGCACAGGTGTGTCTCCTCAACGTTCATCTGTCACACTCGTCGCCCACTGCACAGACAACTCGTGAGCTGGTTTCATTGAGAGCCTGATAGTCAGTAAGCTCAGCAGTCAGTTCATCAGTGTGTCAGTAGCTCAGTCACTCCTAAGTCTGTCAGTCTATCAGTTAATTGACTCAGTTGTCAGTGAACTAGCAACAGAGACAGCCAAGTCCACCAGGGCTTAGCTAAAGAATGGGGAAAAAAAACACTCAATGGTAATTAACAAATGAGTAAATTGTGATAAATGGATCTGTTCTAAATAAATAGACAGAAAAAGAATGATATTTTATTTATCCGGCATCCAGTAGCTACAAAAAATGACTCACAATAAACACACAATAAGAGTTAGCCTGTATGAAGCAGCTTTACTAACCTGAAGCACAAGTTATTAAAAATGTCAACAACACATATGGAGACTGTGCAATAGTGGAACAATAGTAAATGAAGTGACTTTGAGTACACAGCAAGAAGGGCGAAGGCTCTGCAGTGAAATAAAGCAGAAACATAGAGCAGAGCATTAGTACTCGGTGTCCCCCCCGCCTCTCCTGGGAAGAGTTGAAAAGCCTAATAGCTTTGGGGACAAAGGATCTCTGAAGTCCGTCCACTGAGCAGCTCAGTGACTGCAACACAACCACTGAACTTACTGTTTTCCTGTGGTGGTGTGCAGCAGGTGACCGTCATTGTTCGTGACAGAAAGCTGTTTACAGAGTCCAGCTTCCTGCCCGGAGCATCTCTCTTCTTAATGCTGCCTCGACAGCCACTAGAGCAGAGAAAAGAAACTGGAAACCGTGCACTGGTACAACAGCAGTTTAGTCTCCAAAAGAAATACGTCCTCCAATAGTCTACCACCATCCACTCGTATTCAGCTGCAGGTGGTTTGAGTGGCGCCATGCCCGCTGCCCCGCAATGTCTGTGTCGTCTGAAAACTTGTGTAGAGACAACAGGGCAAAGCACAGTCCCCAGTGGTTCTGGTGCTGCTCACTGCCCTCTCAGATGCTCTCAGTGTGACTTACTGAGCTAGTGAGGGAATCTGTGATCCAGGTCAAAAGGTGGAGGTCCACCTGCATCCTGGCCAGCTTTTCTCTAAATAAGACGGGCTGAAAGCACTGAGGAAGTCCAAAAACAAGATGTCATGGTGCTTTTTTATTTGACAGTAGGCCTATTGGAGGTGGCAGAGGATGGTATCTACACTCACCTTCTCTTGGTAGGCAAACTGTGGAGAGCCCAGTGCACTGGATTATTTGCATCAGCCTTCATCTGCACAATCACCCAATCAGGCTGCAGCAGGGTATCGTAGGAACCATGTAGGGCCAAAATGAGGATTAAAAAACTCACATACATGGGCGCCCCTGCAGCTCACCTGGTTGAGCGGGCGACCCAGAAACAGGGGCTATAGTTCCCCGGTGCGGCGTTCGTGGGTTCGACTCTCGCTCGCGACGGTTTGCTGCAGGGTCTCTCCCCATTCTTCTCCTCCCTTTCCTGTCTCACTCTCTCACTGTCCTGACTAATAAAGGCAAAAACGCCAGAAAAATAATCTTTAAAAACAAAAAACAACAACTCACATACATGTACTCAGGATGGTCAGCCCTCTGCACAAGACGAGGAAACTATTGGAAAAGCTGAATAAACAGCAGAGCGATATCTGCTGCAAGATGTGTAGATAACCTGTTCCAACAAAAATGGAAACACAACATGAACACAACAAACCTTTTCCACCATTTGAAAAGATACCATCTTGCTGAGAATACACAGAGAGAGCCACAAAGTCTGCACTCGTAACCTGAGGGGACAAGCTCGCTAATAAGCATCTTGTGACAAAATAAGTTTCTTTCCTCTTATTGATATTAAATCTAGATTGAAATAATTACCGATATTGATCAGTAGTGGCACCTATTTGTGCATCAGCCAGTGCATTAACGTTCACCTCAGCAATCGTGACACATTCTGATTTGCCCAGGAAGCTCATTTTTTGTCGGACATTACATAGATTTCTGCCAGTGATCGCTAATTTCCTGTCATGCATCTGAGGTTTTTACATCTGACATCTGCTTGTAAGTCCATCTGAAGCTGAGACAAGCAGCCTCTAAACAAGTTCAGCTCCACCACTGAACATCTAACTGTTCATCACATGCCTCCAAAATAAGATTGTAAGTGCGATCAGTGACGAGTTGGATGTGTCACAGATTTACAGCGACCGGGTTACTACAGTGTAATCATGTGTAAAACTGGTGCACGTAAACACACGGAGTAATCCAGTCAGTCAGCTAAGTTATGATCTGCTGAATGCACCCAACACCTTGATGCAAGCACCATAAGCTTGTCTCAGTGTTTGGGTCACAAGATACTCCCTAAACCAAACAGGAACAGTCAAACTATCATCAACAAACGGTCACTTTGTTTGTGAATCATGAATTTGTTTATTATGCAAGCCAGAGATTTCCAGGTCTGCTGTGTGTATCCTGCACAGAGGACTACCGGTTACTGCTGCTGCATGGAGAAAACACAGAGTAAACACACGTGGGTAGCATGTGACAGACATTTTATAATTTCACAGTGTTTTTCTCGTGGTTCTCGGTCGCTGACTTGGACCGAGTCAAAGTGAGAGAAAACAGGATGGAGCAGAAACAAAGTGTAATTTCTCCTCAGTGTTCATGTGACAGCGACATGTGAAACGTTGGAGACTAAAGGGGGAAAAACTGCAGCATGAAAGAGTTCAGTTTGATGCACATTTGCACATAAAATGCAGTACAGTAAAGCTTTCAAGCAGCTATAAGATTCCAAGGTTGGAATGTTGTGTTTGTGTCATTTGAAAGGCTAAAGGCTTGTGGTGTTTGTGTGTTGGAGTTGGCAGTGTATCGTGCTGCGTTTGTGATATTGTTTCCCTGCGCATGAGCAGATGAGGTGGAAAAGAACAAGCGGCCAACTGTATAAAAACTCAGCGTGTTATTTAGTCAAATCAGAGGTGAAAATAAGTAGATGTATCTGTAAATGCGAGACGTTTCTTTCGCCCGACTGCAGTGCGGTTTTGTCAGATTTTCGCTGCAACTGAATCGGCGTCGGTGAAACAGTAGAGCACCCAGCGAGTTCAATATGTTTAGTGTGTCTGTCTACCCAGAGCTCCTGTGCTGCCGTGCATTACTTCTGCTCTAGTTGATCTGCCCTGTGGCTTTACGCAGACTCTGCCTATCAGACACACACACACACACACTTTCTGTCTCCATGCAGGCCACTAGACCATAAGTGTGGATCATCTGGGACAAAATGCCGGCATATCATCCACGGCGACACGTCCTCGTCGATGAGCAGACGGAAATCATCGTATTTTGTGACGTGATGTAAAAGTGTGAAGCAATGCAGGAAATGAGTAACGACTCTAAACACATTTAAACTGTCCCCAAAGGATAAAAAAACAAAAAGACAAAGAGGATCGATGGCAGCTGTAAAATGATCTTGCTGTTCTTCATAAAGCAGTTTGTCACGTCTGGAAGAAGTCAGAATTATTTATATAAATAACAGAAATCCATCACTTTAGTAGAGACAGTAGGAGCCAACCATGTAAGGGCAAAAATAATATTCCTTTAATGTTTTTCTGTTCTCTGACGGATTTGGCAAAGTCTGTAAAATGCAAAAATGAATTGTTTAAACTTGACGAATGCAACCTGTTAAAGAGCCCCTATCATGCACACACACAGATTTCTAATTTTCTATTTTTGGGCTCTACTAGAATAACTTTACTTGCTTTAATGGTGAAATAACGCACCATTTTTCACATACAGTATATTGCTGCAGTCCTTCTGTTTGAAACGCTATGTTTTAGCTCCTGTCTCTTTAAGGCAGGGATGTCCAATCCTGGTCCTCGAGGGCCACAGTCCTGCATGTTTTAGATGTTTCCCTCTTCCAACACACCTGATTCAAATGATCAGCTCATCATCAAGCTCTGCAGAAGCCTGATAACGATCCTGATCACTTGAATCAGGTGTTTTGAAGAGGGAAACATCTAAAACATGCAGGACTGTGGCCCTCGAGGACCAGGATTGGACACCCCTGCTTTAAGGTCTCGCTTCCTGAGAAGCCCAGTCTGCTCTGATTGGTCAGCCGGTCCAGCAAAAGCAATGAAAGTAACCTATCATAACCCCAAATGTATTATTATAGGAAAAGAGTGAGAAAATAATGGTGGACGACGAGGATGCTGCTCAAACTAGCTGAATGCAGCTGTGTTACATGATGACATCATTAAGTAACAGAAAGAATAAGGCTGCACAAACGTGGCATTTCAGACAGATAGGAAGCTGTATAAAAAGTGTGCAGATGTTGTATATGCAGAAAAAGCCATAAAACACATCCAAGAAGTGCTTGACACCCTAAATTCTCCTTTTGTTGTGTTGTGTCTTTTATTTTTCTTTATTTGATTGTGGTTTCATTCAGATTCTCATGTCTCATAAGTTGCTGTTTACTTGTGCATCACTTTGGTTCAACTCCTGTTGTTTTAAGTGCACTTAATAAAAGATATTTGACTTCACTTGACTAAATTAAACTGGAAAAACCCAAATGTGGGCTCTTTAATGAGGCGTAAGTTGATGAGGTTTCATCATTAGACGATCAGCTCCCTTTAAATGATTATATAAGACGACCACATCCTTTATCTGAGGGCACTTCACAGAATATGTCAACATGGAGTCAAAAGAAGAATTTCTACATAAAAATCTGTGTAAACACCCCACCAGATATATATGTAATAGATTGGAGGATAATATATCCTCAGCTCTGTACAGCAGACGATTACACCAGCTTTTGTACAGTCAGTCCCGAACCAATCATTTTGTTTCCAAAGTGTCTTTTAAGGCTGAGAAAATTTCTGAAAGCCACAAATGATCCTAAATCACCCGTAGGTGCCACTTAAGACAATTCTGTTGAGCAGTTGTTGCTTGAGGCTCACTGATTGTGCAAAAGAGCTTTGAGACAGAGACGCCCAGACGTCTCTTTCGGTGTTTTCTTAGTGAGTAATAACTTTGACGTCTTTACCTCCACTTGTCTCTGCAGAGAAGCCATAGTCCTGGGCAGCACAGACTTCACAGAGGAGGATGTGGAGCGGATCGTGGAGGAGATGGGGAAGGAGTACAAAGGCAACGCCTACCACCTCATGCACAAGAACTGCAACCACTTCTCCTCAGCACTGTCAGAGGTGGGCACAAACATCCTATCAGAACACATCGCATAGACCGGCGTTTGGTTCCCCAAAACGTTTTTAGCTTCTGTCTTTGGTAGAAGA